GGGCTCCTTGCTTGGCAGGGAGCCTGCTTCTCCCTCTGCCTCTGCCTGCCATTCTGTCTGCCTGTGCTCGCACTCTCTCCTTCTCTCTCTCTGATAAATAAATAAAATCTAAAAAAAAAAAAAAAATGGTAATAGAGATTGTAATTGAAAAATGTAATAAGGGTGATGTTTTTAAAAGTGAACTTTCAAATTGTCCATACAATTTGATAGAAAAATGACTAAAAGGAAATAATGTTAAATGGTAAACAGTTATGATAAAGGGATAATGGGTCATTCTTTTCCTGTTTTCTGTGATCCAGTATAATGCTAAACTGCATGAAGAGAAGTATACCACCCAGATTAGGGGAGCTAATGAACCTGTATTATGAGAAGAACATGGGCTTTGGAGATGTTTAGATATGAGTTCCAATTCTGCTTCTACTTAACCTAGTCTGAGGCCTTGACAGTTACTTAACAACTTTGAATATCAATTTGTAAGTCTGAAAAAGGAGCAGATACCTTTTTTTTTCATAGTTGTATAGATTAACAGTAGTAGTAGTAGATTAACAGTAGTATAGTTGTTAATAAAAATATTCTTTTTTTTAAAGATTTTATTTATTTATTTGACAGACAAAGATCACAAGTAGGCAGAGAGGCAGGCAGAGAGAGGGGGGAGGCAGGCTCCCTGCTGAGCAGAGAGCCCGATGCGGGGCTCGATCCCAGGATCCTGAGATCATGACCTGAGCTGAAGGCAGAGGCTTAACCCACTGAGCCACCCAGGCGCCCCGATAAAAATATTCTTTTAGTCACATCACATCTGGAATAATATATCAGTTTATAAACAACCATAAATCTCAGTGGCAAACAAGGTTCACGTCTGGCTTATGTTACTTATTAGGTACAGATTGGGTGTGGCTGTGCGTTATGTTCTTTCTACTCTAGAATCAGGGTGGACTGGAACTAAAGGTGGTGAAAGTAAAGGAGAACTCATGAAGGTCTGCCTAGAAGTGGTATACTTCCATTCACATTTCACTGGCCAAAGCTAATGTCAGTGGCACTGGAATAATCTTATTTAGAATAAACATATATACTCTGACAGAGTGTGTCCAGTTCCTGCTGTTGCTTTAAGGGTGTGACAGCCTGAAGTATGTTTGAGGGTTAGGATGGTGAGTAATTCTGCACTGTCCCCTGAAATACAGTGAGAAGAGTTGAGAAAGAAGGGCTCATTAATGCTGTCTAAAATACTTGAAGAATGGCTGTCACTGGATGTGGTGTATGACACTGATGGGTAGAAATTACTGCATTATGTATTTTGACTCAGTATAAGGGCATAAGGAGGAAAGCAGAAAAGGAAATTGTTGGTTGTTTTAAATATCTTACCTCATTTATATTCTTCAGAATAACTCTATGAAGTTGTGTGTGTGTGTGCTTATGTGTAAATAAATATTGGAGGAGGAAACAGTCACAGAGTGGATAAGTACCTATGGTCATATGGGAAGTAAATGGCAAAGCCATTTTGGAATCTAGGTCTACGTGACCTCATCTCTTTCCACTAAATTTAGCTACTGTCTGTAGGGTTGCATGCTATCTTATAATTTAACTGTTAATATCAGCCATCTTCTGCCTGACAAGGTAATGGCCACTTTTCTCCCACCTCTCAATGGGTTCAGACAAAACGTGAGGAAAGGTTGAAAGGAAGGTTGAACTCTAGATTGGTGGTCTGCAAACTTATGTGATCAAATGCACCTCTCAGTAAAATAAGTTAGCACGTGTGTGTGTGTGTGTGTGTGAGAGAGAGAGAGAGAGAGAGAGAGAGAGATCTATTAAGCTATTATACTAATATTCTATATGTTATAAAGAAAAAAAAGGTTAAAAAGTTAAGATTCTACATAAAATTTTAGATATTTTTATAAACTAGATCAGAGATTTCATGCAAAATCTCAACTTTTGAAACTTAAATGTACAGGTAGGTAGGTCCTTTTTCTTGTTTCCCGGTGCATTATCTTGTATACCTTCTGAGGTGCATACCCCTAACATTAGAAGTCACTGTTGTGGATGATACGCTGGACTCCTTTTTCAGTATGAGGATTCTGTGATTCTGTTTGGCCTGAGTTTTTCTGAAGGGGATAATAATAGCTTAATTGCCTTTCAGAAAAGTTTTTAAGATAGTCTGTTACTGAGACAAAACTCTAAGTTCGTCACTGACATTCATTCATTCAAATTAAGCCTGAAAACCACATAGATGAAAGGTGCCTTTCCAGATAAATTGTAATAACTTCATGAGCATTACAGTCTAAAAGAGTTTGTAAGTAGGGGTTATTACGAAGTAATAAACCTCATTTCTGTGTGTGGCACAAGCAACTGCCTCTTTATTTTAGTCATGTCGTCTTTATCTAAATCTGCATGTGTGTGTCCAAAACTTACTGTACTCACACATTCTAAAATGAGTCTGAAATTTTGCCTAAAGAGAAATATGAATTTTTATACTTGGGAAATTATTTTAGCACTGCATTAGAGTGGAGCCAGAAATCTAACTTAGACCAAGCCTACTGGATTAAAATCTTCATAGAGAGATACCCTTTAAGAAGGAAAGGAGTTACTTGCATTGTTTGAATGAGGAAACTGCTTTTCTGCATTCTTCTAGTCCTTGGTTATCAGCCATTTGCCAGGTTGGTACCTCACAATTAAGATAACTTTCTGGTTAGTAACTCTTTCTTGGAGATAGATTCTTTAAGAAAAAGCCTTCCCAGTTCACAGAAAGCAGAAATGCAAATCTGGCCTTTAAAAGATGCTTCTATATTGAGATGAAATTGTAGATCAGCAGTGATCTTTTCCATTTTTTTCTCATCCTGATACATTTTGTAGATTTTTTAGCATAACATACTGCAATTTGGTAGTAATTGTAGGGGAAGTGTTGCTTACAAGTCAGTTCAAATCCCGTTTAAACAAGAGATGGCCAAATTCAGCTACTTTTTCTGCATGGCTTTAAGTAGCCCACAGGCCAGGATTTCCTTGATAGTAACTTTTAGTGATCCTTTTGTTCTAGAAAATTACCCTGAAAAGTATAGTTTAAATAGTTTGGTATTTTTAAATTGTCATACTCTTTAATTCATTCAGCAATCATTCATTGCTTCTTTGTGCTAAGCACTGAGGAAACATTAACACTGATTTTTAAAGTATGTATGTAACTGGTATAAGCCAATAGAATTATTTTTGCTCACAGCAGCATGCTACAGGAATCCCTGCTCTTACACAGACCTGCCCTTTTTGCCTGCTCTCTTGTTCTGTTCTCTCTCCCTGCTCCCCTTCCCCTCGCTCCCTTCTTCTCTTCATTCCCTTCCTTCCCCTCTTTTTGTAGCTCTTTCCTTCTTTGAGGTAGTGACCACAGGCAAATTCTGAAGTCAGATCATCTAAGTTTAGAAGAAACTAGCTATGGTATTTACTGTATAACGCTTGCATGATACAGTTAGGCAGGAGCTGGTAAAATTCATATTTTGCCTTAAAGACCAAATGTTACCTCACCTGTGCAGATCTCCAGATGTGTATATTTGTTACTTAGCTCAGAAATCATGTGTCTTTAAATGGGTTTATATTTTTCTATTTTAGATAATATATATAAGCATGTTTTTATGCACGTGTGCTCTTCTATATGCACACATTTATATGATTAGGTAATTTTCAATTAGTGTTTCTTTGATTAAGTATTTTTGAATTTGAATCCTGATGGCTTTTGGAATTAGCCATTTTGGTGCCTATTTCTGTTACATTACAACTGGCACATTTCTTACTTTTCAGTGCTTTAATTGCCTTGTTATCTAAACTCTAGAATACATTGCAGTTAATTAAAGTCATGTGAATAATTGGGCTTGTTTTTTGTTTTTTTTCTGGGTGCTGTGTTCTCTATTGATGAATTTGAAGGTAATTAAAAGTATAATTCTTTTCTTCTTTAGCATCAGACAACAGTCAGCGCTTTCGAGAAACCTGTTTTGCATTTGCATTGACACCACAACAAGTGCAGCAGATCAGTAGTTCCATGTAAGTTTTGTTCAAATGTATCTTGCAGTTTGGCCTTTGAAACCAATAATATCTATAATAAGTGATTTTTAAAAACAGTGTATTGGGTGAGTATTAGTGTCATGCAAATAATTAGTATTGAAATGCTATTATAGTGTTAGTTAATCTGAAGAACAGTTATATCTCTGATAATTTGAAGAACTTTTGGAGTAACAGTATCTTTGAATTAGCTTTCATGTACATATTTTAAAAATAATTACGGTTCTTACCCTGTCTTTCTAGGGATATTTCTGGGACCAAATGTGACTTCACAGTGCAGGTCCAGTTAAGGTATGGTATTGCTTACAGTATATATCCAGTGTTTAAGAGTTAATATTCCTTAAAGATCTTCAAAATTATGTAATTTTCAATAAGTATATTGAAAGTACTAGCTTTAGATGTTTGGGTGAGGGAAGACCTTCTCCTATTTTTATCCAGTTTAGATTTTAATATAGCAAGTCATGTACCATATATCTAACCTCCATTTTGGTTGCCATTAGTTGGTTGGGAAGCTCCAGCTAGAGATATCTTTAAATGATATGATGGTGTGAACTCTTTAGAACTACTCTGTTTATGAAAGTGCAAAGAAAGGCCTTATCCGTATCGATGACAAACTACTGTAAATGAGGAACTAGTACTTAAGGTAAGTGTACAGTGTCTCACAGACTAACAAAACCAAAAACAGTTTAATTTGCTTTGTCCTATATTTTAAATCATTAATTTAAAAACACTCTTCTAGATTTCATGAGGCATCTCTTGATAGTTTTGCAAAGACGAATGGAAAATTTTCCAGCATGGATTCACCGTTTCCCCTTATTCAGTTTCTTTCCTTAGCTCATTTTTTCTAAGGATATCTGAGAATTCTTTTTTATTAATGTGTCTCTCTGTCTTATATAAACCATTTTATGGTACTCTTTTTACTCTTGGACTATATCCCTGTAGGAACCTAACTGCTCCACACTAGTCTTGTTGCGGTAGGGATAGAAGAGGAAGTTACAAGACCATTGTTTTCCTCCATAAGCTAAAGTAGGAAGGATAAGTCAAACAGATAGCCACAGTCTCAGTAATTGGATCTGAAGTTGTATGTACAAATTATATACATTAGGAGGTCAGAAAAGAGAATAAAGCACCTGCTCATTGCTTCAGGGAATGATGTGAAAAACTCTGATCTTAAAAATAGAGTGATGAAAACAGTGAGAAAGCAGTGGAGAGGTTGAAGTCTTGATCTTATTATTCTTTAAAAATTTTATTTATTTATTTATTTTTAAAGATTTATTTATTTATTTGAGAGAGACAGAGAGAGCATGAGCAGGTGGGAGAAACAGAAGGCATGGGAGAAGCAGACTCCCCGCTGAGCAGGGAGCCCAATGCAGGGCTCCATCCTAGGACCCTGAGATCATGACTTGAGCTCAAGGCAAACTCTTAACCAGCTGAGCCATCCAGGCGCCCCTGAAGTCTTGATTTTAGTGGGCACTGACAAAGATGTTCCTGTATAAAAGGTACGTTATCCTCTATCAGGGGCAGAACGTGATAATGACTGAATAAATTAAAGGATTAAAAAGTATGATGCCTTCATAATAATATATTTTTGTAATTTTGCTTACTTCTGCATCCGCAGTTTTATTTTGTTCATACTGATATGTGACATTATTGTTTGAAACATTGTTTTTCAAACTGTTCCTTGGAGCCACCCTTAGGGGTCTTGCTAGGTCTTCCCATTCCCTACCCACTCTCATTCCCTACCCACTCCCCTCAACCAGAGTAGTACTGCTTTGATCTATTTTGCATGTTTGACTTCTGGGTTAGTTTTCACTTGAAGAAAGAGTTCCAAGACTAAAATAGAGTTTGGAAACCATAGTCTAGAACAAAAGATCTAGTTCTTGTCCTCAAAATTTTATATTAATATACATGCATTCTGTAACGCATCAACAGGTATGGTTCAAATTCCAAAGGAATGTTTTTAAGCTGTAGATCAGCTCTCTATTTCAGAGGTTCCGAGACCTCTGAATCTTGGTGGTTAAAAATGGTTTAGCCATTTTCAATTCAAATTCATCTCCAGAATTTGATGAAAAAAGAGCCATTATGTTATATTTCATAATTGTTAGATGGTTGTGTTTTGATAAAATGGTTATTTTTCATCTTAACCCCCTTATCCTTGTTAACTAGGTATACAATCCCCATGTATTGTTTAAGTTGGGAATGTATACTTATTATCCTAATTATAAATTGTATCTAAAGCATGACAATAATTTGGTCAGGATTAGGGTCAGTGTTTTCTCTATTGGGTTCCTAGTCTGTTCTTATTTATGTACCTGTTTTCTTTTCCCACCACCATGCACTCCTTCACAGCAACTTTCTGTTATTCCTCCCCCTTTCCCTTTGGTTTGTTAAAGTGGCTTAGATTTTCACCTTTTACTTAAATGAATAGGAGTCAACTTGTCTTATAAATCATTCTTTTTCTGTAGCTTCAGGCAGCCAGAGTCCATGTTTTAAATTTATCATTGCATTGGACTAATTTATTGAAAACTCTGTGGCATCCTTGTACTGTTGCACTATAAAGGATTGTCCTGTGGTAGGTTTTGCTGGGGTTAGAGATGATCCTGGGAGCTTTGACATCTTTATATTTTCATCTGTTTACTGTGTATATTTCAAGAAAATCTTTGTAGATCAGTAATTCTTAACTCTTTTATGGGTCCCTTACCCTTTGAGAATCTGATGGAAGCTACAGATTGTTTCCCCATACAGATGAATGTATATATGTACACAGAAAATTGTCCAATTTGTGGATCCTCTCATACCCAGATTCTGTAGCTGGCAGGTCAAGACCCTACACCATAGATGCTGAGAGAAGATGTTTGTGTGTAATGAATATTTCACAGAATTCAGATAGGGTTCTTCTTAACATAAAGATGCTGTGAATGTTCTATAAAGGTGGAATGAGCCAGGATACCTGGATGGCTTAGGTTGGTTAAGCATCTGCCTTCAGCTCAGGCCATGATCTCAGGGTCCTGGGAACAAGTTCCTCATGGGTCTTGCTCAGCAGGAGAGCCTGCTTCTCCCTCTGCCTGGCATTCCCCCTGCTTCTTTTATCTCTCTCTTTCTCCCTCTATCGTAAATAAATAAGATCTTAAAAAATTGGGATGAGCCTTAGCTGTATACTGGGAATAAGGAAGTTATTAATATGTCTTAAATAGCAAATTAATGATTTACTTCTTTATCTATGTAAGCATGAGCAGAGTGAGAATTTACAAATTATGTAGCCATCCATAGTCTTCCTGAAAGATTATGCATTTAATTTAGAAACAAATGGTTTCATGAGTTTCTCAAATAGGATTTTAAATGGTATGTGGATATAATACAAATAATGTTATTTTTCCACACCTTCAGTTCTCAGGGAATAATGGAGTACCTTGGCTTAGTGGATAGAATTTGGTTTGGGGGATGGACTTAACAGCATTTCAGTATATTCTGCTAAGAACCAAAAAATTACTTTTGTAAGTAGATAAGTTTGGGAGCTACTGTGTATTATATCTCCCTCTTAGAAAGTTACAGTGCATGTTACCCTAGCTCTGGGATGTTCTATATTAAGGTAATTGAATTTTTTGAATCAGAATGTCTTAAATTTATTCCACCGCAGAGCCTTTTTTTTCCTCCCTAAAACATGCGTAAGCAAATGATTGGCAATATTATGAAGACTAGTGTAGGTTGATAGTCATGATTATTGAAACTCTATGTTGACAGAATTATTTATTTCAATTTGTTTGAATATGCTTATTCATCATGTGGAATATCTAGCTCTAGTAGTTTTCGTTGTTGTTAAGATTAGCAACCTTTTAGATTAGCTATTGAATAAAAATATTGAGGTCATCCTTAATAAAGGAAGTTAAACTTGTTCTTTATTGTTTAGGTTTTGTTTATCAGAAACCAGTTGTCCACAAGAAGATCACTTCCCACCCAATCTTTGTGTGAAAGTGAATACAAAACCTTGCAGCCTTCCGGTAAGTTCTAAAAGCTGTTTTTTAAATGCATTGCCAACATAGCTATCAAATAAGTAATGACAGCTGCTGTTAATCATAGTTTTTCATTAAGAAAACATCTTCATTTTGAATGTGTATTCATGGAACTGTGTAAAACACTTGTAACAACTATGTATAATTAACAGCTGTAACGTTAGCTATGGAGACTAAATCTAAGACTTGGAGCTGAGTGTGGTAGTTTTAGTTTTATACTGGATTTTGAGAGATAAGAAAAACCTCAGAGGTACTCATGTGAATCCGGAAGCCTGTGGTAGAATAGGGGAAGAATGCTGTGTCTTAGAGAATCAGAGTGCAGGCTGTTATTGGTCACCTTTAAAATGTTCCTTATATACTTGCCCAAGCTCTTTATGAATTCATCCTGATTCTTAAGTTGAAGAGATTTGTAACTTTTATTTGCCAGTATTAGTCACAGGCTTACTATAATGAGACTGTAGGGGTGTTCAGAGAAATAATCCTGTAAATGTTTGCTTCTCTAATTTTTAATGAAAATATTCATATTCTAGTATGTAGTTTGTGGGGGTTTTTTGTTTGTTTTAGTAATGGAAGTTGAAATGATTATGGAAATAATAAGTGGAAATAAATGATATTTCATCCTTAGGGTTATCTTCCACCTACAAAAAATGGTGTGGAACCAAAGCGACCCAGCCGACCAATCAATATCACCTCACTTGTCCGATTGTCCACAACAGTACCAAACACCATTGTTGTTTCTTGGACTGCAGAAATTGGAAGAGTAAGTAAATTTTATTTCTACTAGATGTTAGTATCATAAGGAAGGGTTAATCTCCATGGCTACCTGAGCTTATATGTAAATGATACTGTAAAACGAGTTGCAAAAGGATTTATTTCTGTCTCACAATGAATTTTCAACATGTTCCCATTTTTAAAAAATGGGATCATGCGGTATTCATTGTTTTATAACCTCATCCTTTCACTCAGCAGTTTATCATGAACGTCTTTTTATGGTATTACGTGTTCATCTGCATGATTTCTAACGGCTAGGTCTTTTTCCGGTATGAATATGCCATAGTTTAGTCTATTCCCTGTTGTTGAGCAATTAGCTGATTTATTGATTGATTGATTCATTGTTATTTCAAAGACCATCCTAATAGCTATAGCTTTGCATACATACATCATAATTTCCTTAAATTCCCAGAAGTGAAATTCCTGAGTCAAAGAGCATGCAGAATTTAAAGAAATGTTGCCTTACCAGAAGATGTATACATTTATTCTCTGACTTTCAGTGTTTTTGTGCCCGTTGACCCGTACCCTCTCAATACTTTCATCTTCTTTAAAATCTTTACCAAGTTTCATAGGTAAATAAAGGCACCATGTTGCTTTGATTGTTCTTCTTTTATTACTGAGATTATGAACATATTTTGTCTGTTGTGATTTACATTTTAGAAGTATATCCATAATTTATTTCTCTATTGCTGTTTTTTATATTCTTATTTATGAATTCTTTATATATTAAGATTTAACCCCTTTCACAGATTGCAAATATTTGTTTCCAGTTGTTTGCCTTTTACTTTTATGTAGTTATTTAATATTTAGAGGACTTAAATTTTTATAGAGCCAGTTTTAACCAGGTTTTTTTTTGTAGTCTTTCATTCTCAGTCCCCGTCAACCTTAAGTCTGTCTGCCCTTCCCAAGCTTACATAAATATTTGTTTATATTTTCTTCTAGACTTTTGAGGTTTTTTTATTTTGCCTTTAAATAATCCATCGCAAGTTCTGTGTGGTATGTAATGAAAATTTACTTTCGTTTTTTCAGTAGCCAGTTGGTCTTATGCCATTAACTAAATAAATGCTGATTCAGAAGCTCCCATTACTATACATTTGATTTTTATTTATCCTGTGTGCATTTCCGAATTTTTTTTATATTGGTTTCTTAGTCTTGCATTCTTTTTCTGGGACAATTTCAGAGTGTTTTTGATTATTTCAGTTTTATCATGTGAGCTCATTTCTGTTCATTAATTCATTCGAATTTCATTGAATGCTTACTGTATGCCATGCACTGTACTAAAAACTGACAGTACCATAGCAAGAAAAGAAAGTCCTTATTCTTTCAGAGCCTGAGCTCTGGGGCCAGGTGGTCACACACAAAAAGGTGAACATACTTACTAGAAGGGCTGTGAAGGATAGGTGTGCGGTGATTTAGAATATTTTAAAAGCTACTTTGAATTAGGGAGAGGTCAGGTAGGGCTTCCCTGAGGAAGTAGTGACTGAGCCAAGAGTTAAGAGGAGGATAGAAGGAAGCAGTTTCAGAGGAAGGTTCAGAGGACACAACCTGCACAAAAACCCAGTGGCAGGGGTGAGCCTGGTTCTTTTCAGGAAACTGAGAGGGAGCCATTGGGCTTAGAGCAGAGAGTGGAGAAGAGCCGTGTACAGAACGAAGCCGCAGAGTAAGAAAGGTCCAAGCCATGCAGGGCCTGTGAGGTGTTGCTGCTAATGTTAAGGATAGTCTCTCTCTCTTTTTTAAAGATTATTTATTTATTTGAGAAAGCTCATGCTAGGGAGAGAGCACACATATGTGCCCACACGTGTGTGCCCCACCCAGGGGGGAGACAGAGGGAGAGGGAGAAGCAGACTCCCGAGGATCAGGGAGCCCGATGTGGGGCTGGATCCCAGGACCCTGGGATCATAACTGGAGCTGGAGGCAGATGCTTAACCGACTGAGCCCCCCAGGTGTCCCAAGGATAGTCTCTTTTTAAGTGAGAATTTTACAGTAGTATATTTCTTTTTACAAAACATCGTTCTTCAGAGTGGTAAGCAGTTTGAATGGAGGCCAGAATCATGCAGCACGGTCACCTCGTAGGAGCAAGCTTTTGCTAAAGTATTAGTGGAAGAGAGCGAGTATTAGCCTAGAGCAGTGACAGTGGGGCTGGAGAGAAGTCGTGGGTCGGTAGGACTGAGTGAGAAATCACAAGTAGGGGCCAAGAGAACCCGGAGATGTCAAGGATGATTCTTGGGTTTCTGGCTGGAATGAGAAGGTAAATGATAATACTACCGAGATAGAAGAAACACTAAAAGAGGATTGAGTGTAGGTGTGTTTTTTGTCTTTGTTTTGGAGGAAGGAGTGTTGGAAAACTAGATGAAGAAAATCATGAGTTCAGTTTTGACTTTGAGATGCCTGAGAGACATTCTAAATAGGCAATTAATAGTAGACTCAGAGGGTAAGTTTGGGCAAGAGAAAAAAATGTGAGCTGAGGGTGAGGGAGGCCGTGAGGAGAAAGAGTAATTACAGAGAGGGAGCTGCATATCCCTGCATTGCTCCCCCAGATCTTTCTGGGAATTGGAACAAAATTGCTTTAAATTAGTATATTAAATTAAGGAGGATTAATTTATTTACAGTATTTAATATTTCCATTCCAGGAGCTGTATATGTTTCTCCACTTATCCAGAGCCCCTTTTATGTTCCTCTGTCATTTAATAGTTTTTTTCCTTATAAATCTTCCATGTTTTTTATTAATTCCTGTGTTGTTTATTGTTATAATTGCTGTTTTAAGTAATCTTTTTTCTATTATATTTTCTATTATATTTTGAAAAGATGTATCATTATACAAATAATTATAATCTTAGTACTTACATCATAATTTGTTTTTGTTCTCTTGTGCTGGCTAGAACCTGTTGTGCTGGCTAGAACCTTCAGAACAATGTTAAATAATGGGAGTGTTAGTGGACATGCCCAGCTTGTTTCTTATGAAAATGAGAATACCACTAGTACAAGTATTGATGTAATTAATTTTTGACAGAATTAATTACATCAACAGTATACTCCTCTATTGCTCTTTTACTGGATATCATTGTGAGACATGGATTTTGAATTTTATCAGAATCCTTTTTGACATCTATCAAGATTATATTTTTTCCTTTGCCTAATTAATATGTTATGATTAGGTTTTTGAAATCTTTTTAAATGTTTTACTTCTAGTGTACCTTGGGGTTTGCCTTTTTGTCTCCCTTTTTGAAGAGGGTATTGAAAAATGTTTTTAGTTTTGTATTGGTTTTTTTTGACTGTGTGTGAAACTTATAGCCTACCAGGATGTTTACAATGAAAGAAGTCTCAAACTGTGGCAGAGGATGGTAATGTGGTGCTGACATATAGCATTAAAGGAGAGAGGAAAGCCTTTCAAATCTCAGAAGGAAGACAGTATGTTCAGTGATTTGAAGGTGATCTGTTAGGTTAGATATTTGTATAGACCCCAGTCTACAAGTTGGAGACCTTTTTGAAGTAAAGCATTGAAAGAAAATTGTTCTTTACCAAAGCCCAGGAGATAATTTATTAGATTGTTTTTCTGTCACTACTTTTAATTCAACTTGTAAGTATACTCTGTTAGTTTGTGGAGGATTTCTTATTGTTTTGGGGATTAACTTGCATTTTTAGTTCCACTGAGAAATGTTAAAAATACATCTGCAAAGGAAATAGAAGAGTTAGTGTGTTAGCTAAAGCTAAGGTGGTAATCATGTTACAGTAGCTAAGTCTGTCAAATGAATATGTTATACACCATAAACATACACAATGTTATATGTCAATTATGTCTTTTTAAAACTGAGATTTAAAATAATAATAAAAATAATAAATTATATAAAAATAATTATATAAAAATAATTGTGTGTGTGTGTGTGTGTGTGTGTGTGTTTTTAAAGAAGAGCCAGTATAGTGCTTGAAGGAAATAAGTGAATTATATTGTAACTTCTTATCCTGCCTCAGGGTAATCATTGCATTTAGCATCTATTAAACTTTCATTGTTTATAGAAGAGTTATTTAGATACTGGTGTAAAGGACACTTCTTGAGAGATTATATCTTACTATGGAGAAGATGTCCTGTGAACTTGATAGACAGTTTTGAAGACTTGAGAAGGCATTTGACAAAAACATCAGTGTAATATAATATTTATGAGTAGTTGGAATTAAGCAGTACTTTGAAGGGTTAGCAGAAACATTATATTATCTACTTAGAAGAGATAGCATGCCACTGTGAAGGTTGGTGTTTTTTTGCTGCTGAATCTCAGGTGATATAAAATTGAATTCCATATTATCAGTAAATTGGTATTTGTTAATACCTGACATTCTTTTTGCTGCTGCTACTTCTTTTTTTAATTTGGTTACATGTTTCAACTAGAGTGAACATACCTTTTCACTGAACTTGTGGTTGTGGTTTTTACTTGATCTCTCCTTAAAAAATTATAAAAAGCCTGAGGGGAGTTTCTAGTATTGAAGATTCAAGCTGTCAGTACATAATTTCACAGTGTTAATTAGCATTTCTCCAGTTTCTGTCATACTTGAAACATTAATCAAATAAATAATAAAGGTGAATAAAAATTTTTCCCCCAGAGGAAGCCTTTTAGTTTTATTTTAGATTGGTGTGTTGTATGCTCTAAAATTTAGGCAATTTTACAGTTCCTTGTAAATTAGCTTTTTTGACACTTCATTTTTTTCTCCAGAAAATACGTAACATATGAACATGGATAGATTTCTGAACTCTAAATGAAAATTTGGTCTTGCAGAGGATACTGTAGGATATTTTCTCTTGTTGTTAAAAAGAGGAGAATGTATTTTTGAAAAGTCTGGAATTTGGTTAGGAGGGTCAAAGCCAACAGGGTGTGTTATAACGAGAACTGTTGAGAACTCTGCTAGCCTTGGTCATGAAGTCCACTGTTCTGACAGCCCTGTTCTTTCCTCCTGGGTTCTTGTGCCAGCTCTGTCACCAAGCAGATGCATGATTGATCATGAGCACATGACGTATCTTTTTGTTCCTCCTTTTCATGAACCACTACTTAGAAAAATACTTATCCTGTCTCCTCTAGGCCTTCTGCGAGGTTTAAATTAAGTAGATAGTATATGTTAAGAGTGCTTCAGAAATTATATGTAGCTGTAATCTAGAAGGTGGCAGTAAGTATTTTTTCCTTTTACTTCTTTCTAAATCTCTTGGTCTTCCTCTTGATCCCAACACCAAATAGAAAGTGGCCCTTCTTACTGAGATCTCTCTCCTACCCTTAATAAGCCTCAGCCCTCTTTTCTTCTTCTTATCCAGTCATGTACCCATCATTCCACTTTGGCTTTATTGATTAATGTTTTCTTTGTTCCCTTCTCCTGCTACCATCTCCTCTACTAATCCTCTGTCGGTAATGGATATTCATCTCTTCATTTGCCAAACCAGCAGCTTCTCTTTGAGAATCTTAAATATTCCCTCTGTTTGTGATAATGGCCCATGTAAGGTCTTTTTGAAACTAGTTAGAAGTAAAAAGAAAGATTCGATGGTATGGATTAGGAAGCCAATCTAATTTGTAATTTTTAAATAGCTACTATTTTAGATCTGTTACCCACTAAATATGGTTTATGGTGATTTTTTGACGTCTTACTGGCCTTGGTTTATATTTTAGTTTTAACAGTGTTTTTTTTTTTATATAGGTGCTTCAAATTGATTAGCTTCAAGCATAGGTAGTCAGGTAATATAGAAGCATGACAGACCTGACTTTATTGCTTGAAAGTTGCAAAATTCTTTTACTTCTCTACACTTCCCTTTCCTTGTCCATAAAAGTAGGTTTATGACCACCTCAGCAGCTTTATGGTTAGGACTAAATTCTTGTTCATGAAAACACCTGATAGTGCCTGGCCACACACAGTAGGTGTTTTAACAAGTGTTAGTTTTCTTTCCCTGTCATTGTGGGATTAAAATAGATGTACTATTTACTTATATATGTTGTTTTTCTGCATCTTTTTTTTTTTTTTCCAGAACTATTCCATGGCAGTGTATCTTGTAAAACAGTTGTCCTCAACAGTACTTCTTCAGAGGTTACGAGCAAAGGGAATAAGGAATCCGGATCATTCTAGAGCTTTAAGTACGTATAATAAACTTATTTCATTTATGCAGCTGAACTATTTTGGTGAAGGTTAGAGTAGTATATTTTCAACGAAAGAAATTTTTTTCAGTAGACCTTGTCATAGGGGATACAAAACACTGAAAACTTGTTTTCTGAATAAAGTAAATCAAAGCTTAGAGGTGGTTTTAGTATCTTTGTTATGACCTATATTTTATAGTCTCTATTTTACTGACTTTAAAGGTAACTTTGGTAAGCCAAGAAATGAATATGGAAGAATATTTTATGAAAACATCACAAAATAAATGTTTATGGAATTCTAGGAGACAGGAAGGAAACCTTGGCATGTATTTCATGAGAATTATTTTATATTTAAGGTTTATCCAGGAAGAATGTACATGAGTATGTGATGACTGTATCCCTGAATTAATAAAGTAGAAAGATAGTGGGATGGTAAAAATAATAACAAAGCAGTTTCTGTTCATCAATTATGTAAGCCTTGGACAAGTCACTGTCTTCTCTGAGTTTCAGGTTCCTCATATGTAACAAGAGGTTGTTACTACGTGACTTCTAAAGTTCCTCCAAAGTCTGGGCTCATAGTTATGAATAACTAGATGGTTCATAGTGTTGCGTAGAATTTGAGACGCAGAAAGGTCTGCAGATTAACCATTCTGGCCTCAGTTCTTGGGGTTGAAGGCCAGAGGTTAGCAGCCTTTCTCAGGAGGAGAACTAAGTTTTTCTGTTGTTCTCTTCTTTGTGAGAGATAGATTGTTTATGGATGGATTAATGGATGGGGCCGGACACAGGGAAACCAAACTTTTACAGGCAAGGATTAGATAGCTCCTCTTTAAGGATTCTTGATGTGAGTTGATTAATGAAACCCACTCTCAGATTTGTAGTTAGGCACACTCTCGTGAAAAAACTAAAGTAGTAAGGCCAGCTTTCCTCTCACTTTCCTCTGTGGCATAGCTTTTATCTTATTATGCTAACCTGTTTCTGTGCCAGAGTAAAAGATCCCACCACCTCTGACTAGCAGTATACCCTCAATAGTTCATTGGAGGACTTTTCTGTATTAAAAGAACCCTTTTTAAAATGCAAATAATCCTGAGTCAAGAGGAGTACACTTTTGGCTAATGTCTGTGTAGACATTCCTCAGAAGACTGTGGAGAGCTAGAATGACAGCACTGGTTTGGGATCTAGGGGAGAGGAAGCACCAGTGGGCAGGGACAAAGAAGAAAAGGGACAGACATCTGCTCTGAAGGAGAGTGCAAGAGAAGGAATTTTTTTTCCACACTTGCTGAAGTCCGTCCCTGGTCATTCACTGGAGAATCTTTATATTTGCCATATAGCTATAGAATCTCATCTAATCAAAGAGTTACGGAATTATGTGAGCTTGTGTAGAAAAAGTAATACCAAGAAATAAGGCAGATGAGAATGTTATATTTAATAATAATAGTAGTAGTAAGGCAAACCGTTTTTCCTCAAGCTGTTCACTCTTCTTCATTTGTAGTTGTAGCACCATCTGGAGGGAGAGTAGGAAGGTGAGCCTAATATTATTTTATTTTCTGGAAGGAACCAGTATTAGTCACTATTCAGCAGCAGAAACTTCTTAATTCAAAGGCTGTATATTTCATCTCTGATACAGTGTTGGAAGTGAAGAGTAGTAGCAGAGTGGGTGAGATTTTTGTGGCAGTTTATGTCTTATCTTACTTATTGGCCTGGAGAACCAATAAAACATTAATTTGGATCCTACTAGTAAGACATTCATTGTAATTAATTAAAGAACAGATTGTTTGCCTTTATACTATCTATAAAGAAATAACTTTCTGAGTAAATTAATTGTGTAATTAAAAGAGTGTATAAAACAACTTGACAGAAGAAAACGTTGACAGGTTTTTCCAGATATTTTTGAAAAATAAGTTTGCCTAAAAGTATATTTACTGTAAGACCTTCTTAATCTTATTAGTAAATTTTGCTGGCGGAGTTGTATTCATCAAATCATGCACTATTATGGTCTTGAAAGAATAAACAGTAATATTGAGACTTTTCACAGAGACATCTGCTCTGATTCTTTGGATTTAATAGATTTTTGTCTTGTGATTTCTGCCTTTTTGTAGAGTTTGTCCCCTCTATCGCAAAGGCAGGCCTTCACAAATTTTTGGTCATGTTCCTGTCTCCTCTCCTTCTTTCCTACAGCAGTCACTTTAAACCCTGGCCATAGTTTACTCAAACACTACTCCCCCTCTCTCCGTGTGCTACCCCTGCAAGAAAATTAGGGCTACAAGATGGGAATTCTCTCAAACGCCCATTTCTTCCTTAATCCTAGTGCCACCATAACTGCTTTTCACCTTATCTACACTTGCACCTATCCTTACTTACTCTCTTCAGTCTCAGGAGGAAATGTCCCTTTTTCTGCTCAGAGTTAATCTTTTATTCATTTATTCTTCTCATTCAAGAAATTATATTAAGAGTCTACAGTGTTCCAGGCACAGGAGAATATAGCATTAAACAAGACACACACCGTCTCTGCATCCCTTGGAAGTTTGCAGTCTTGTGGGAAAGACAGAATTAAGTGATTGAATGAGTCATTAATGAATTACAGTTGTGACATGTGCCTTAAAGAAGAAAGACAGGGAATTCTGGAGGTAACAACAGAAGAACATAGTCCTCTCTGGTGCTGTGAAGTTTAAGACAAGATTAGAAGGGTGAGGAGGAGTTAAGCCCCAAGATGAGAGGGGAATATGCCATGAGACAGGTCAGTGGAGCTAGAGAAGAGAGAACAAAGGAGAACGGTGGCCAGAGAGATAGCCATGGGGTGAGTTCACATAGGTAGATGGTAGATACAGGTAGATACAGTTCATAAAGGTAGATAATAGAAAACCCTGAAAAGATTTTTAAGCAGAGTGACATGATCAGATTTGGGCAATAAGAAGGTTGCTCTGCCAACTGAATTGAAGAGAGGCTGGCCTGATACGATGAGTCCAGTTAGGAACCTGTTGTCCAGGAAAGAGGTGATGGTGTCTTGAACAGACGTAATGGTGATGGTCATAGAGGTTGATGGCTTGAGAACTGGTGAAGGGTAGCAGTGGTGGCGGATTACATGCGGGGAGTGAAGGAAAAGGAAAAGTCAAGGAGCAGTTACATGATAGTGCCATTTGCCGAAATGGAAAACAGTTTGGAAAAGATTGAGATACAGAGGAAAGATCAGACTGTATGTTCACACTAGTATTTGAGATGTCTGAGACATCCAGGTGGAGATGCTCAGAAGCAGTGTTTTAAGACCTCGCTGATTTATCTGCTGTCTGTCCCTCTATAAAACTCTTCCTGTTAGCCTTCCCTATCAGGTCTTTTTCATCCTTTAAAAAATATAAAAACAAGCTATTCTCTACTCTAGATAGAGCTCTGTGCCCCTCCTGTTGTCCTCATCCTACTTTCTTCAAAGAGTGGTCTACACTTGCTATCTACCTCCTCACTGCAACCCATTGTGCTCTTTTAACTCCAATCTTTCCACTGATGTCACTACTGACAGTCTGATTGCCAAATTTAAACTTTTTTTCCAGTTTTCATCTTAGATATTTTTGCTTCATTTCCTACCAACCACTTTCTCCTTGAAAGTCTCTTCTCTATTTCTTCTCAATTAGCTGCCTTCAGTGGATTCTTTTGAGGGAAGCATCCTAAATGTTTGTTTTCCCTGAGGTGTCATCCCTGGTCCACTTTTCTGCATACTTTACCTAGGGATAATCACATCTAGTCTTATGGTTTAAATTAGCATGAACTCTCCCAACACCTTCATCCCAGACTTTCCCCTGAACTTCAAATACAGATATGTATAGCTAGCTAACTGCCTTAACTGGAACATTCCACTGGTTCCTCAGATTCAATTATTTAAAACCAAACTCAACGAATCCTATCAAACTTCCACCCTAAATATTTCTCATCCATCTTCTCTCTCTCTACCATTGCTGCCCTCATTTAAGTGCTCATATTCTGCCATTGTTTAAAAAACCTATTCTAAAATAATATATCCCTCTTCATTCTTGTCCCCTCTTCATATCTCTCTCATGGTAGCAACCTAAGTGATTAATGCAGATCTAATCTTACTATTTCCTTGCAATTCCATAGCTTCTTAACATCGGTGAAGTAGAAACACCCAACTTTGTTAGCATGACAGATGCAGCTTTCCCTGAAGCGGCACCTGCTTACTACTTCCCAGGGTCATCTGTATTTACCCTTCTTCTTAAATCCCATAAATACTGAATTCTTTTATGTACTGCTCTGCTAGTGTTGCTCTCTGTGCCTCTGAACTTCCCTCTTCTTTGCCTGACTCCAGTTATCCTTCCGGTTTCACTTTTTCCAGGAGGCATCTCGGCACCCTGGAAGTGGGTGAGTTGACTTTGAGCCAGCTCCCTGAACACATTTAGATTAGAGCACATTACACTGCAGATGCATCTTTGAATTCCTAGCGCACAGTTCCTGGTGCATGGTAGATTTCTGTTAAGGTAAACTGATTAAAAGAGATGTAGAACAAAAATCTGGCTTCTGTGCCTCTGTTTCCTTGCCTATAAAATGAAGTATTGGCCTTAATGTGTTCAGGTGTTTACAGCCTTAAAGTTCTAAAAGGATGACTATAAAATAACTGATATTAAGGAATGATAGAAATTATTAGAAATATTAGGGGAAAAAAAAGTAAACCACAAGAAATAGATCTGTGATTATGGAAATATCATCCCTTTGCACCGACCCGTGTGGTAGCTACCAGCATTATGTGGCTCTTGAGCTCTGAAATGTGGCCAGTGCATCTGAGGAACTGAATTTTAAACTATATTTAATTTTAATTTAAATATAGCCATGTGTGACTGAATAATGGCTAACTCATAGGTCATGACAACAGAGGTTTTTAACAGAGTAAATGTGACTTGCTATAACTTTATTATAGGTCATATAATAAAATACTGTTACCACTGCCCTCATAGTGGCACAGGAAAACTTTAATTCCCGGAAGACTTCCAACACATTGGTTG